AGACAATTAGACGATTTGTTATTTGTAATGACCCATCATTTGAAGCAAATATTCAAAGCCGATAATAATATTTGATCTTCGGGTAATTTTCACATAAAATTCTAAAATAATTTTAGATTTATCTAATAGAATCATTAGGAATCCTAACTAATTTTAAATTTAATATTTCCACTACATCTATATATTTTGAGAAACCCAACAAGTATAAGAATATAGTTCACAACAATTTCTTCCTTTTCTCTCAAAATAATTCTCTTTATTGTTCTATTATAGTATCAAAGCCTATTACATAATTGCATCCATGACTATTTAAGAAAATCAATCTCTTACACAAATGTCTTTTATATCACAACCCATAACAAATCCTACTTTAGTTCCACCAACCTCTTATAATTGTAATGGTGTCAACTCCACACCACTAAATTATGATAGTTATAACTTTAAACACATTCATCATTATCTCTTTTTGAAGCTTACAAACAACATCAATATCTTTTGGAAACACTTTCTGTTAAGTTATGGCTTATTAAAATTCATTGATGGTAACGGCCATGTCTTACCAAAATCACCATATTATAATACCATAGAAATCAATCTATCTTATACCATATGAGCATAACAAGATCAATTACTCAAGAGCCCACTAATTGCCTCCATCTTTATTGAGGTACTGTGTTTAATTATAAGTTGTGCAATATCTTATTTCTATACATTTTGCCTTGATTGAACTATGTTAGAAATCTAATGAAAGTGTCATAGCCTATTTTCAACATGGAAAGACATATAATGATGAACTTATAACTGTTGGTAAACCTCGTAACTATTAGTAAACCTTTTCATCCTTTAGATTTAACCTTTACCTTTTCAAAGAGCTTCACGTAGAGTTTAAAAATCTTGTAACTACTATTACGACTCAAGTATAACCTATATATTACTAAACTACACTATTTATTATTAAGCCGTGAGTTTATCAATAAAAATATTTTTCATCAACTTTCTATTTTGATAATAATTTCATTGTGATTATGAGAGGTTTAACCATAATAGAAGAGGTCATCAATAGTGTGGTCATAGTCCAACCAATAATACTTATCAAAAGCTTAGATCACGATAATTTTGGAATTGGTCCAACTCGCAACCATATCTATGATATCAATTATATGGTAGTTAGGATCACTTGGCCACCTCTTGCACTCTTTAGATCAATCATAGAGGCAACAATAATAATTAATCTGGAGGTGGGAAAAGATTGTAATAAGTTGGCTTAGTAAACTCAATAGTATAAATAGATTTGGCTAGTAGTTGTAGTAGTTTTAACTCTCTTGATTGGCACTCAAATATTAGAGTTACTCATCATGTCCCTTTAAATAATACTATTATGATTTAGATCATCTTAAAGTAGGGGCTGGTAAGTGTTTTATAATTTATGCTATTGATTATTCTTACATTCTTACATTTATTTGTATCTTAAATTTATCATCTATCTTATGAGTTTATGATATAATAAAGTATTTTCTTTTTGTGCTTTAATTTTCTATTAATAATAATTTCTTTTTTGGATTTCATGATTATTTTTATCTTGCCAAGGATTGCACTTCAAGATTGCACTTCAAAGGATATCATTCTTTTAACACCAATAAAGATGTTCTTTACATCCTTCATGTTTCTTCTTCCTTACCCAATCCTTGTACCTTTCATGCCGTTTGTGTGTCACCCAAACTCTGGTGTTGTCATCTTGGTCATCTTCACTAATGTGTGCATGTCATTTAGTTTCTAATAAACATTTTTTTATACTATCATTTTCTTTCAATTTTAATTGTACTACTTATGGGTAAATCTAGTAGATTAGCTGTAATTTCTTTAAAATATACGAGCACTACTTCTTTAGATTTAATATTTAATGATGTTTGGATTTTTTTCCTCCATTTTTTTATTTGAAAGGTATCATTATTTTGTTGTTTTGTGAACTATTTTGCCAAATTCTTTTTGTTTTACACTATACATGTTAAATTAAAAGTTTTTGAAATTTTAATATAGTTTTAAGAACTTAATAAGATTTAATTTTGTACTTATATCAAAAGCTTACAAATTGATTAGGATGGTGAGTTCAAAAACTTTACACCTTTGTTTTCTCTATAATTCTAGCATTCTTTATCATATCACTTGCCCTCATAAGTAAAATAGAATTATTGAATGCCATCATTGACATATCAGTAAAATAAAACTTGCATTTATTGCTTAAGCATCATTGTCATTTAAGTTTTGATCATATAACTTTGAAACTGTTGTATATCTTATTAATCGTATGCTAACTCTAATTCTATGTTTTAACTCTTCTTTTAAAGTGTTATTTTGCTTTCATTATGAATATAGTTTCTTTAAAGTTTTTGGATGCTTATGTTTTTACTATTTTTTTCATATAATCATATTAAAATGACTTTTCGTTCCGTACTATGTCTTCCTAATTCACTCTATGTTTATTATTCTTCCTAATTCACTCTATGTTTATTATTAATGTATGGACATTCATTCTCATTATATCTACATTGTTCGTCATTATATTTTTCTTGAGTCATTCTTTTTATTTTTCAATTCTTTTAGTCCAAATAATGTTTCTTTCTTTCGTTCTTTTATTAATCTTCTTCATAGTGGATTTTTACTTTTTTGATTGGGTCACCCTATCTTTTTTTAAGCTTTTTTGTAATATTGCTTATTAGTTTATCTCTTTTCTGCCTATTTTGCAAAAAAAACCAGCATGTTGTAAGCCTCCTTATTCTTCTTCTTAGTCTTTTATATCCTCTTCTTCTCCCTCTCATTGTGTTGTCACTCACTTGTATCTTTTTCATCCTTATTGTATCACCGTTGTCTTGAATCTTCTTGCTAATGTAAGTTTTATTACCATGTTGTCTACTTTTACTTCTACATCTTCTTTTAGCATTGAAAATCAACACCATATGATCTTACAACCTCGTCCTGCTTGTCCCCTAAAGAACTATTAGCATCCTTCAATTTAATCATCATCTTTTATTAAGGTCAAATGATATGATGAGTGGCAATCTATTATAATTGCTAACATTTATGTATTTGCTTCTAATGACACTTGATCCTATATAATTTGACTATGAATGTGGTGGGTTGTAGACATACAAGATTAAAAGCAAGACAAATGAGACTATTGAGCTCTACAAAGCATGTTTGGTGGCTAAAGGTTATCATTAATAAGAAATGGGATAATTTTTAGCAAATATTTAGTCCAATGGTAAAGTCTTAAACTTTTTAAACAGTACTTTATATTAGTGTTACTCATAGTTAGTCAACTCATAGTCTTGATGTACATAATGCTTTTCTGAGTTTTTTTGGAAGTGTGGTTGCTATTGCTTTTCAAATAGCTTTTCATGCCAAAATGCATGCCAATGATTTTTTTTATTTTTAAAAATTATTTTTGACATCAGCACATCAAAATGATTTGAAAACACTAAAAATATATTAATTTGAAGTTAATAAAAAAATAAAAAAAATTTAAATTTTTTCAAAAGCGCTTTTGAAACGCAGAAACAAATAATAATGGATTTCTTGATACAAATGTGTTTATGGCCCAACCTTATAGCTTTTATAATCCTCAATTCCCAAACCATGTTTGCAAATTGAAACATTCTCTTTATGATCTAAAATAGTCACCTCATACATGGTTTGATTGGCCTAGCCAATTTTCACTTTCTTTGGGATTTCATAACTTCAGAATTGATACTTGTTCATGATTTGTTTTGTTGATACTACAATATTTCTATTTGTTTATGTTGATGAAATTTTACTTAAATGATAATCTTGTCTTTCTTCAGTATTTTATTACTCTTTTAAGAGCCAAGTTTGTCATTCAAGACTTTAACTCATTTTACTATTTTTATAGCATTGATTTTTCTTTCATTACAAATTGTTTGCTTCTTTCACAATAATAATATATTGTTGAAATTATAAAAAAAACTAGAATATTAGTGTAAACCAATTACACTTCTATTACTGTGGTTCTCCTTTATTCAAATCAAGTGGTTACTCCACTCAATCCCTACCCAATTCAAACAATTATAGGTGCTCTTCAATATCTTATATTTACACAACTTGACATATGTTTTTCAATTAATAAGGTATATTGGTTCATGTATTCTCTCAATAATATTAATTAGTAGGCATTTAAGTATATCTTATACTATCTACTTGGTACTTGTATTTTGTTTTACATTTGACTCATTAGAGCAATTTTTTTTAATGGCTTTAATGATTCTAAATAAAAGTAATAGTGTTGATGATTGAAAGTCTACTATGGTTATGCTATTTTGCTTGACCAAAACTTTAGCTCTTGAAAACTACTAAACAAAGCTTTGTTGCTTGGTTTTCTGCAAATTCAAAGTATAAAGCCACTGCTAATGGTGTTGTAGAATTACTATACGTCAAGTATTTATTTCTTGAACTTTTTTGATAGCCAACCCAGTTTTCCATGCTCGGATGACACGTGGAAATTGGTTTTCACTTAGTTCGTGACATTATATCTAGCAATTACACTCAGGTTTAATTTATTGCTTCTAATAAGCAGACTGACATTCTTTATGTTTCTGATGATCAAATTGCTGCTCACCCTAAACCCCTCTTATCATCTCAATTTATTTCTTTACGATCCAAGTTAGTTGTCGTGCGGGTGTGTGTGCGCGCGTGTATTCACGTCCACCTGTACAAAGTTACTATTTGAAAAAAATACAAGAACAGCCGCAAGATTATAGCCCATCTATTTCTTCCCCTTCTCTCTCTCAAACCAACTTTTCCTTTCTCCCAAGCTAATTCTCTTCATTGTACGCTTACATAATTCTTTAGCCAACCATGTAAACATCGAATGGGAGAGCTAATAATTGGGATTTCTTGATCCTCTTCGTTACTTTGGGGTCACTGCAGTGACTAACGTAGTATAAAAGCAGCAGGATTTGATATGATATTCCATGTACTATAGATACTTCCAGTTTTTTCCTCAACCATTCCTTTCCCTCCCTGTCTCGCCAAACAAAACATTGCATGATCGGCATGTAATGTTCAAAAATACACGTATTGTCACTTTCTGGTAACTTAAAGCTATATCACTTGCCTTAGGAGTGCATACATTATATGCTTTAGATGGAAACGTTGTATTTATAATCTGAAATGGGTTCTCCAACAAGAAGCTGTTCCAAGATTAAGTAGCTAGACTCTAAAGAAGCCAACAAATGCAAAATGCAGAGCCAACGAAAGAAGGTTTCATCCAACAAACATTAGGTATAATCTTGTGTTTGGGCAAGGAAGCTGAAGATGGTCATGAAGAAGCTCATCTGGCCGATGCCAAAATTCTGTGCGCTTCAGTATCTGGTTCAGGTAGTTCGCTTGGAGTCTGCCATAGCAATTAATTAGTAACAGGTACAAGACAGAGATGAGAAACATAATTTTCATAATGAAATCAATGGTTACTAACCTGTCCATAAGAGTTTGCTGTTGTAGCGGAGGCACCAGAAGCCAGCAGCAATCTAATAACATCGGCATGTTCACCTCTTGCTGCATGGTGAAGAGGCTGCAAAAGGGTTTTAATATCAGTAATCACGCGGAAGTAGACAATGGTTGTTGGGGTGGGGTGTTACAACACAGCTAAACAGCTATATGTCCAAACTATACAGTCATTCGGGTGTTACAACACAGCTAAGCAGCTATATGTCCAAACTATACAGTCATTCTTGGAACCCTCGTCAGCTCCCACTAGATAAAGGACCAGGCAAAGCCAGCAATGGCATCAGCTGGCCCAACACAGCATCCCCAAAGAGATTAAAAAGAAAAGGAAATAGAAATGATATAATTTCTTTTGAAACCTATTTTCTAAGAATGAGGCCTCCAGCCAAAAAACAAAAATCATTCAATTTATTATTGGAACTTACAGTATCACCTTCATCATCAACTACTTCTAGCATCCTTTTCACACGCTCTGCATTATTAGCACTGTCCACCAGAAGTTGGACTATCTCAGTAAATCCTGCAGCAGAGAACAAGGGAGGTGAGGTGGAAAAAAGAAAAGAAAAATCAACATTAGTTTAAATAATTTCATCAGGAAAGAATACGGAACATGTTGATGGTAATTATTTCTTATTCTTACCCCCTGCGCAGGCATCATGCAAAGGAATCGCCCCGTCTTCATCCCTGGCCTCCAAGTTTGCTCCCCTTTCCAGGAGAAGCTACAAAGGAAACTATAAATAATTTGCACTACTGTTTAACATTTTAAAACACCACTGAAAAGCAGCAAGAGAGAATAAATTGAGTAAACTAACCTGGACACAGAGACGATGGCCAAACAGGCATGTCAAATGGAGAGCCGTGTCCCCATCTTCCACTGGTTCATCAATGCTGCCATTCAGGTTATCTGAATCAGAAACTAAAGCATGAGCGAGAAAGATCCTATTTGACTCTGTTGGCATTTCAAATTTCTGATTTCTAACTTGTATGGTGGAATGGGTTCTGCAAACATCCTCCCTAATTCTAGAGATTTCTAGACAAAACTTGTAATTCCCACTCTTCCATTACTTTCTACTTCAACAAGAGAAAAAGGCTACCCTTTCACATTTTGTATAAAATAGATACTCTAAAAGCCTTGATCCGATAGCCTCTTCCTGGAAATCCAAAAGATTTTTATCATTTTACAAGTCAATGCCATTCTACAATATTGTTTTATAACCTCTAAATTATGTAACAAACCATCATCAATCAGACATTTTGGAGAAACTTAAACATCCTGCATAAAGAAGGTATGAAAAGATCTCCATCACCAGCAATATACTCAATGAAATGTTTGATGTTTGATCATGCTCAAGTTCAAACTCCAAATCTTTACGAATCCGATATTCCAAATATTCAATTATGCAGCTTCGCTTTTGGGGTTTAGCTTTGTCAAGTTCTAGCATTATAAACACTATTGGCGAGCAAATGAACCCATTGTCGAACTCTTTCATAAAGTTATTTCCATTATTATCGAAACAAGGAACCCAGAAATCTATCTATCAGATACAGAAACAGAAATTCAAAGCCACAAGTTAAGGTGGCCTAAATGCAGGCAGCAGACTAGTTTTTTTTTTTTTTTTTTTGGCGCAAGAACATGACCACCGAAGGAGATAATTTATTTTATACGGCGTTTTCGGCAGATCAAAAGTGGAATATAGACGCGCAAAGGAAAAAAAATTTTATTCAATTTATAAGCAACAGCACCATTGCTGAATGGCATTCAATAAAGATTGCTATTACTGCTCAGCTTACTAAAAATCTTCCAAAGTCACCATAACTAATCCAAATATTAGAACAAAAACTCGGTCTAGATGGCTTCTTTTGTCACACCAATCCCAATTAACAAGTAAATTCTTGAAAAAAAAAAAGAAAAACCTTTCATCTAAATTCCAAGAACTAGAATTTCAAGCAAATAATAGAAAAGAAAAGCAAAAGAGAGAAGAAGAGAAGGTTATTCATTTCACCTAGAGCATAGCGAAGAGCGTCGACGTCACCGCTCTGAGCGGCGCGGGCAAGGTCACGGAGGTGAGGAGGAATATCGGAATCTTGGTCATTAACATAAAAGTTAACTAAGAAAAGAAAAGCTAAGCCGTCTCCCTCAAAGAGAGCATTGTCTTCTTCGTTCTCTTCTTCTTCCAGTAGATTGTCGCGGTGTACTGCCATTTCTTCTTTTTTCTGTTTTTTGTTATGGCAAACCCTCCTTGTCTATGGTGTTGTTTATCACTGCCCCTCGCGTCGCAGACGATTAATACAAGAAGAAGGGCTTCAAATTCAATAAATAAAGTTAAGTTAAATTTAAAAGAGAGAGAGAGAGAGAGAGAGAGAGAGAGAGAGAGAGAGAGAGAGAGAGAGAGAGAGAGAGAGAGAGAGAGAGAGAGAGAGAGAGAGAGAGAGAGAGAGAGAGAGAGAGAGAGAGAGGAGGAGGAGGAGAAGGTGGCATTGAATTTATTTGTGTTGTAAGTGTGGCCAAGAGATCAACAAAAGTGGGCCTTCTCACTGGGACTGGGAAATCGATGGGCACCAAAAACACCTTCTCATTGGACAATTAATGGGCCTAAGAACATATAGAAGAAGATCGGAACTCAATTACTTTTGGTGGTCGCTATGAAATCATCCCTAACCTCACACAAAGTTCTCCACAGTCAAGTTTCAAGTATATTTCCCTTCTATACTTCTCATGCCGATGGGCATCGATTTTATTAAGGACGAATAGACTAAAGAAAGTACATGAAATATTAACAAGAAGCGTTAAAAGACTGTTAGGTTAGTGAAGAAGCAGTAGTTTGCTCCTCCATCTTCACTCAATATATAATACAAATCAGTTCAGCCATTCTACTTATGTTCTAGCTCCCATGATGCATATCAATTACTCTATCTATTGAGTTTGTTTCTAAAAATACAGAAGACACAATTATTGCCATTTTTTAAGGAAAAAGTTAGAGAAACATGAAGTAAATGTGAAATCCAAAAGATAATATAAAGTCAGTGAATATACTATACTGAAATTAAACTAATTAAAATAAAGTTTGAACAAGTTGATGGAATTGCATAGAAGGTTGAAATTGATATCAAAGATAATGTAAACTTTACCTTTCGATTACTAATTTAAGATTT